ATGAACTTCATGTGTTTATTATATTAACATAGATAGTCATAAATCTTTCAATCTTTGAAAGCATATTTTTCAGCACTTAATTAAAATGGCCTTTTGGCTGGGGTTCTGGAGTTGGAGTCTTTATTCTATAGAATCAATAATGTGAGCTCATAAACTCATATATATTATAATATATAATATATATATTAGAGTATCATTATTTCTATGCCATGTGTGGGTATGGAAAAAGTAAATACCAGCACCTATTCAAAGACCCTATTTAAGTGATTGTATTCTTATTTTGAAGTCCATCTATTTAAAGTCATTCAAAGTGTCTTGCACTTCCAGAAATATTTCACACAATTTTAGAAGAAAATGGGACACAACAGAGATCTTCATATCAAACATGTATTTAAAAATGCAGCTTCTGTCTATATTTTCTAAATTCTTTCAGTCCTTAGGTCAGAATATCCCTCCTATTGTTTTCTGATTTTTCAACAAAAGATGGAATGGCATGGTGTACCCAAACAACAGTGCACGTGAGTAAGTTGACTGCTTAGTGTAAATGTCATTGCTAGGGAAAGAGGGCACTGCCATGGATAATTATTCATATCATTTTATTGTTGGAGTATATTTTATTTTTAAGTTTCAGATACTAAAGGAGAGATCAGATAGGGAGTATATATTTCAAAGCTTTTATCAAAGACAAAGGTCCTTTTTAGCATAATTATCCTGGATGAGAATTACATTGTAAAGGCTGGCTTACGAATAAGTGGATTTGGAAAGTATTATTATGTTGGACTTCTTGTCTTTTTCATTTGAATGTTGCTTGGGCTACAATTTTTCAGACGCTTTCAGATGTTTACAATTTATCATAAAGATTCCCAATTTACACCAGGCACAGTACCTCCTTCCAGTGAGTACATCCCAGCATGACTCCAGCATTTATAAAGATGGGATGATTCCTAATAGCCTAGTTTTTTCAAGTGCAAGTGGAATAAAGGCTAATTGCACAAACCACCTCGGTTTAGTAAAACTAGAAGTCTCCTGGCCAGCCCAACAAATCCATTAGGATTTTATTGGGTCCTAAAAAGAGTTATGTGATTCCCTGGGATCCAATCCTTGTCAATCAGGCCTGGTAAATTGGATTCTTGAATAGGGAAATCCCTTAGGGAGAGTAGATGTTACCCAGATCAGATGCACTGATTTCTTCGACTCTGTGCTCACTAGGTTCTGTTCTCTCTTTAGTGAACCAATAAAACCATAATAAGTATTGATTAACCCATTACTGCGCATTATCCACTGGCTTCTGCCTAGCTGTATTTAAACATTATGCTGCACTTTCACAAGGCCACTGTACAGATACTTGTTCTGCCTTGGCCCACTTGCCAAGATAGCTCCAAGCACATTTCCTTTCAGTACAAACTCAATATCCCATTTAGTCCTTTTTGCTGGCTTCAAAAGTATTCACTCAACTTCCTAAAGAAAGAAAATCAGGAGATTGCTGATGGTACATTTGATTTTGCATAATTCAAGTGTTTGAACATTTTCAGATTATAAGAATTGTTTTCCAGCGCAGAGAAAAATATCAACTTTATTAAAATCCAAGGCAGGTTTTCATGCTGAAAGAAATGATCTTTTAAATTGGTAAGTAGTGTGGGACTTTGAATACATTATGTAATCTAATCATTTCTGTTGTCAGCATAAAGAGTTTTCACCAGCATGCAACTAATTTCATTAACTGTTGTAACATTCGGGAAACACAGGAGTTATGTTCCATCTGATACTGTGAACATTTAGTAGATGTATTTAAGGTTCCTCTGTACACTGAATATTCTTGAGGGAAAGTTCAGTTTCTGCCTGTCCACATATCATTAGAATTTCCTTCAAAGCATCGACATGGACATGGCTCTCTGATTTTCTTCTTCATGCTAGTTAATAGTAGAAATGCAGAGATTAACCAGACAAATTAAGGCTGATTAGAGGGGACAAGGTCATGAGCTGGATGGAAATGGGTCAATCACAGTCATGACAGCGAAAAAAAATTTACACATACACAGCCCATGCTTTTAGGAACTATTTTGTTTCATATTTATTCTGAACAATAAAATATGCTTTGAGACAAATGTATATGCATATATATATGTGTATTATTTTCAAATTTATATATATATTTAATTTTGAAGTTTGTAGTTTTGTAGCTTATATTGCCTTTTGTGTTCATTAAAGACAAGTCATCTGATCAAATGATTTTCAATACATTGTCAAAATAAATTACACTCACTTCATTAGATGTACAGGAAGTGTAGCCAAAGCAGGGACAAGTATTAATTTCGACTCTGCAGAAACTGACACTCCATCTTATGACCCTGAGGCTGTATTATTCAGGATACCTAGTGATGGAAGGAAGTCTGTCTCCATAGCAATTACCTAAATCTTTTATCAGTCATTTCTGGAAAGAAAATTAGAGCAATTGTGTCAGGACGGTCATATGGCAGAAATTGCACACTCATTCAAACCACTTATGTCTCCGACTTTGTCCTTGGTGATGGCTCCTTTTGTTTATAGGCCTGTGTCTGAAAGCCTGATTGGGCATGAGCAGATGTGCCAAACTGGAGCCACAAAAGGGTAGTTTTGTTTTTTCTCAATTCTTCTTCTTCTCTCCCGCTCTCTCTCTCTCTCTCTCCAATCTTGTTCTCTCTGCAAAACTACTACATTTTCTTGCTTTTTTCTGTTAAGCAAATAATTAAAGAAAGGATTACAATGCAAAGAAACTCAATTAAAAATAGAATTAGCTTTAAAATCCCTCCCTCCTTTGTTTAATTCTAGAGATTATTAACACAGAGATTTTAAGAATTAGGTGATTCTGAACTTAGAAAAAAGTGAGAGGAGCATCGCATTCTAGGACACATGACTATTAATCAATTTGATAATTGATGTTGCATCTGGAAGCTTGTCATTATGTAGTGCTAATATCTAAAAATTATTTTATTGATCAAAAACTTTACAAACATTAGCATAAATTAATAACCAAAGAAAGGCTGCAGCTGGTTGTGGGAGAAGACTCCCCCTCCCCCTAGGCTTTAGATGTTTTCATTAGTAAATTTTTAAATAAAAATTAAAAGGTGAAACTAGATAAACAAGAATTATAGCTTTCATTGAGTGGTCAGAACAGCAATGTCTAGGCTTACCCTTCAGGTTTCTTGTTCAGGAAAATTTACAATTAATGGGTTTCTACAACAACAAAAATATCTCCTTCTTCATGGCTCAGCTAGAGACCTGCCACACTAATCTATTCCCAGTCAGCTGGCCATGGCCCTTTCCTCTGTCTGTCTTAGCATATTGATTTCTGAGCTGTCTTATTGGTTCCTAACATAATTACAGCAGAAGTGGGTTTCTTAATACTGCTAATATATTTACACCATGGCATCTAGGGAAGCTGACTATAACACTATCTGGTACTACTGCTACAGTTAATGGTCAGTCTCTATTTTTATTATAAACTTCATTTTTTCAGGGAGTTTATAGTCTTAATTTGTTTAAAGGACGAGAACCCCAGCTTTGTGCTTTACAAGATAGGCATATTTCTGTCTTTAAATGCTTTAAAAGTAAAATGTCTATACTCCCAGAGTTTGAGATTTTCAGAAAAATAAACAGTAATTTTGGAATCTTTGAATTAGCAAATAATTTGGCAGGTAATTCAGTTCTGGAATCAATACATGAAAAGTTGCTAGACTTTAATTAGGAACACCATATATTAATACACTTTTGTCTACAAATGTGACCCTCTTAGACTCCAAAGATTGAGGATATATGTCTATCAAACTAACAACAGATATTTGACAAAACAGTACTTTTAGAAATAGAAAAATTTACATAAAATTTTCTTTTATTAAAATATTATTAGTCAGCTCCTTTGCTCTGTATCACATAATATGTAATACAAGAAAACCATGTGGCACCATACGGCATTGCTTACATTGAAAATTAAGATGTACTGGAGATTTTAAACAACTGATGAGTTAGGAATTGGAGGTGATGTTTGTACACTTGAAAATATAAAATTACTCTTGTCTCAAAACAAGTGTGGTTAATGTCATGACTCAGATTTGGGTGAGCTGGAAAAGGGTGACTCACAAACGAACTTGAGATGCTGAACAGAAGTAACCTATAAATGGACATTCCACTGAGGCTTTGTGTGCTAAATTCTTAGTATACAGGATGAATTCCAGATCATGAGAAACTCACTCTTTGATTATATGTTTTTTGTGAACGTCCTTAGAAGTGATAGAAGATGGATACAAAGTACACCAGTGAAATGTGAAAAGTACTTAACTCATGATCTCTAAAATGTTCCATATCTATGCTGATTATCTGTATACTATAATTACTCTATGGAAAAAATTTCATGTAATAGTCACAATGGCCCATAGGCAAAATCAAACTGTAAGTTTGTGTCACATAATAGTAAAATAAATTAATAACAAACATAGTAGCATTCATTCATTTTAATTTAGATATAATTATTGTATTCTATAGTATAAATATGTAATATGAATTTATGTAGATAGGAGAACTTTTAATATAACAAACTTGCTTCTTTCAAAAATCTAGGTTTTTAATTGGAGCTTTCCTTTCTAAATTGAATTTTATCTTTACTGCCTTTATAAACAGAGAGAAAAATCAACCACTTGTGGCATGGTAATGTTCATACTACTCTCCACTCTCATTGCGGGTTTTATATAATATTTTGGAATGTGCTATGACTTAGTCCATTTTCATTTATTTTATAGTAAGCTGAGCGAGCAGAGAAGGGTTAAAATCTAAGACATAAGTTATTTCCCATGTCCAGAAGTTCCTGATTAGACAATAAAGCAGTGTTATAAGGGAATGCGATGCTCAGAGGAGGGGAAGAAAAATGTGAAGAAAAGAGTCAAGCAAAGCTTTATAGAAAGTATGCTGCTGAATTATCAGTCTAAGGGTGGGAAATAACTTTATCAATGCACTAACACTGACATTACCTTGATTGCCCTGTTGAAGTCTGAGTTGCCTGTCACGTAGTCTTCTGTGCCTACGTACTCATCTATCGCCACAACTTTTTCTCATTTGTGTTTATAAATTTATGTTGTACTAAGAGATATAGAAACACACCTTGGGATTATCGAAGGGAGAGACAGCATTGTAATTAGATGCAGGGTTGCAATTTTAATGATTCTATCATGTGGAAAGTTCAGGTATTGTAATTCATTCGTGTTACCACTTTCCAATATCCAGGCTGCTTGCACAGTAGCTTTGTCCTTCATAATTGCTGCATTCCAAGTATAGAAAACTGATAAAGAGTTTATCTGGGAAAAGATATAGTACATGCTTAAACTACTGTTCAATGCACATGTAGAGGAAGACAAATCAGTCTCTCATCCTTTTAGTGAATGGCATACATCGTTTTGTTATCCAAGTATATTCAACAAAAATGCAAACGGAGATAGACGCCTTCCTGGATGACAGCTGCAAATGGCCCTCGTGAGTGAAAGAAAGGTTCCTGAATGTCCTGGCTTATGTGGAGGAGACAGGAACTCTTCCAGAAACGGGCATTCGGAGAGAGGAGCGAGGATAAATTCATCTTCGGTCTGTTTATTTGGAGGATGGTGTCTATGTTTTGCTGTAATCCAGGAACTTAAAAGTGATATGCTGTATGATTATGCATATGGAACTACATGCATAGAATTCATGTGACTAATTATTAGCAACCTACTCAACTTCTGTATATTATAATTTCCATAACTTTCTATAAACTTATCCCTCAATACATTTTTATAGAAAAACTGCCTCTTGCCTATTTTCTGTGTTCTGTTTTAAAATTCTAATTCTTATTCTTTAAAGAATTCCAGGATAAGTTGACAAACGCCGGGATGATAAACGATGTAGTATTCCTAATTATTTTTAAAATAATGTCATAAACTTAGTTTAAATAATGTTAGTGGCTTCAGACAGGAAGTTTTATTTCTTTTTACTTGTTGGTTAGACATTTTATGTGCAGATAGTCAGTGTAATCAAGAAGCATTATTCTTCTCCGATAAACCTTAAGATTAATGTAAATATTCACATTCATACAATTTATTATAAATTTAAAAGATTGACTCATGATTATACTACCAACATTTGAGCATTTGAAATTTATAAACTCCCTGAAATTAAAATAAACTTTAGAGGCTTGGCATTTCAGCCAATGCACAGTCATTTAGATTTTGCCAGAACATTTCAAACAATATCATGGTTAGAAATTTTATACTGAAAATAAAATTTAACTGGAAGCTTCAGTCTTTTAACCATTTCATGGGTTCTGTATGAAGCATGGAATTGCCGTGGCAGAGGAATTCAAAAATGATGAAGTGGAAACAGCTTAGCCCAAATTTAAAACCTTCAAAAGGCTTCTACCCTGACATGCAGTGAAGTACCTACAGATTCTCAATCCCAGCAAGATGTCTGGACTCTGCTTTTCATACTTAGAAACAGGCCTCGTCTCTGGAAAGATGGCTTTACATCACCTGTCATAACCAAGAAGAATTGCCGGCTATTTCTCTCGCTGTTCCTAATTGTTGTCAGAACGCGACCTAAAACTCTGACATAGAATTTTTCAAAGTCAGGCTTCCACAAGGCACGCGCATTTATCAATGTTTACTCCACACGCACCTACGCCGCAGCACTTGTGAAGGTCTGTTTTTATTTAATTCTCAAGATTTTGTTGTTAATGGTAAAACTGTCTCATAAATTAGGGAAGTGCTCAATTACAAGCTTGACGGAGATTGATTCTCGTTTCGCTGCTGGTCAGTACCAGCAAGTGAAGGCCAAGGAAACCACAACTCCTGCTAATGTTGGCGCCACTTCAAAGGTGACCGTGAACAAGTGTTCATTGCCAATTAGGATAGTGCTTGGCTACAAGCCTGGGAGCTGTTTGAGTTTGATAGTGACCATCTGTATAAGAATTCCCCCATTGCGTGGTTACAGACCCTCATGGGATGAAACACAACTTCAAATGATTTGCATATTTATTTTGTGGAAAAAAATGTGCATCTAACAAATAAGGTGTCATCCAGAACATATAAAGCAACCAATTACAGAAGCATTGACATTTATATAACACATCAGTAATCTGTAAGAGGAAATGACCCCAATATAATAGATAGAAAAATTTTACTTAAAAATGAAAATTAACTTAGGCTTTTAAATATTAGTCATTCTTTTTTGCACTTTTAAACATGGATTTATTTTAATTGCATTGTGAGAAATCTCTAAAATAAAATGTTCTGATAAAGAAACTCTGGAGTTCTAATCCTTTAAGGGAAAACATTATATTTTAAAGACACCTCGCTGACTTTAAAATGTAATCAATTTTAATAAATGTTTCTATTCTCCTTTCATGTTTTAATTATTTGTTTACTATGTGTTTATTTATTTTTTACAGTGTTTTCCTGGGTAGTCCTGGCTGTCCAGGAACTAGCTCTGTGGATCACAATGGCTTCTAGTTTAGGGATCCGATTGCCTCTGCCTCCTGAGTAGTGGGATTAAAGGTGTGTACTACCGCTGTAAGCATTTCAGCTCAGAAGGAAAGGTATTCTGGTAGTTAGGAGCCACATAATGCAACAATGTAGCAGTTTACAGCTCTGGCCCAGGGAAAGGTTTCCCCAATGCAAGTGACTCTGCCTAGGCAGGGGAAGGTATTCCCAGGAAGTTACTTCAGCACTGTTCTCTTCCATCTCTGGAGAAGTGGTACAGCTCTGGTCAAGTCCTCAGCGGTCTAACAACTCTGCTCCCCTAAGGGAAAGTTTACCCAGCAGCAGTGAACTGTTACAATTCTATTTGCTCTGCTCCTTAGTAGTGATACAGCTCTCGGCACTCTGTTCTTGCTCCTTAAAGTTGTTACAGCTGGCCTCCAGTCTGGCACAGTGTCACACTACACAACAAACCTCACTCGAGATTTATGAGCAAAGAAGTATCCAAGCCGGTGGCTCCCTCTGGGGTGAGATGAAACAGCAAACTGAACAGGGTACAGAGTTTATATTGGGGGGTTTCTTAGGGGAAGAGAAGGCCAGAGCTTTCCAGGATGGCTTGGGATTGGTATATTTTGTGGTCTGATTTTGAGGCAAGCTCCTGGACTGTAAGGATTTTGCACTTGAGAACCTCAGGGATTGGTGGAATTCTATGTCAGGGATTGGTGGGATTTCAAGCCCTGGTCCTAGGGTCAAGTCAGGGTCAAGTTTCTTGTCTCTTTTCACCGTACAACCCCTACCTGGTATTTTAATGTTAAGCTACACGGTTTTGAGAAGAATTCAATTATATTTTCACCTAAAACAATGGGTTAGGCCTATTCATATCAGATTATTAAAAGTAAGAAAATAAAAGATTACAAGAGAAGGATCTGACAAAGTCCGCTTGTACTTTGATGCTATGACCCTTATACCAGGTGCTGGTATCAGAAAGAAGGTGATTACCTCTTCCAGGTAAGGCAGTTTTAACAATCAAGGCATTTTTTGTAGGTTATATATACATTTACAATACGTATACATACATATGTGTATACATATGTATATGTTATACATATATACAATTGAGTGTGTGTCTGTGTGTACATGAAATATTTGAGGATTCCGATGTCTATTTTGCTATTATTAGAGAGCACCAAATGTGGAGTCTACATATGAGTAAGGATGAGGTCTATGTAAAATAGCTATTCAACGTTTCTTCTTCATTCTACATTAATTTGCACAAAATTTTTGCTAATCAATTTCATTATAAAATTTGAAATAAAGCGATAAATACTGAATGGTTATCTTTAAACTTGTATTTAATTTTATTTTTACTAATATAAAACCAATCATAATGTGTGCAGTTCTAAGGTTATCGTCTAGGAAAAGAGAGGGAAGAAGAAAGGAGGAAAGGATAAAAGATGAGACGAAAGCAGCCACCTTTATCTTTGCATTTATACATGCTATTTATGTTATTTCTTGTGGGATAAATGCCTTTTTTTCCAAGAATTACCATTTTCAAATTATGAAATAATATTGTATAAAAAAGCAATTGAAAGTGGGACGTGATAAAGGAATACCTGATTAACTGATATTTAAGCTTACGTTAAATCTTGCTAGACGTTAATAGGTGTGTACATTTTTCGGGGAAGTTTACATTTAGTTGTTTGGTGTGGGTGTCCTTCTGTATGTGTGTTGCTTTAATTGGTTAATGAAAAAAAGCTGCTTTTGGCCAATGATTTAACAAAGTAAAACCAGGCAGGAAAATCTGAACAGAGATGCAGAGAAAAAGAGTAAGCAGAGTTGGAGGAAAGGCATGTAACTACCACAGGAGACAATTACCTCTGTTGGAGTCCTCCAGAACCTTTCTGGTCTGCCATGGCTTTGTGGTGATACCCAGAATAATGGAGAAGCATTAGTTTAGGATGTCAGAGCAGCTAGTAAGAAGCTAGAGCTAATAGGCAAGCGATGATTTAATTAATACAGTTTCTGTGTGGCTATTTCCAGTCTGGGCAGCTGGGAACAAATGAACAGCCTCTCTCAACAGCTGTTAACTTTGATTTACTATTGTTCAGTAGCACAAAATGATCTCAAAAGATTCAAAATGAAATGGCACAAAAGATGGATATGAAGGGAAGTGGATCTGAGGAAAGTTGGAGGAGAAGGGTGACTATGATTAATGCATGCTTTACAAAGTTCTCAAAGAATTAATAAAAATATTTTTAAGTGAAGGCACCCCATTTTTTTCTCAGTGGTGCTCTGATTGTTGTTTGCATTCTGAGGGTTCTTCCTTAATTTGAACTCAGTGGCATGGTGCTGGTCTACTTGTATGCAGTCTAAACACCAATACTTGGCCTTGTTTCTCTTGATTGGATGTTCACTATTCAGGCTTTCCTGTGAAAAGGGAATAAAATTCCCTTTATTAGGAGCAAATGTAAGCTAAAATGCTTCCACAAGGAAGGCAACTACTACACTCCAATGTTTAAAATTGCTCTTTCACAAAGTAGCACTACAGGGCCCCAGTGTTCTTTTTAGCTTCACTTTGTGCAAGTCCCTCTACTGTCATTGTGGCAGATAGTGACTGCAACAGCATTTTATATTCAGCACTCATGGGACATCAGGTTTGTTAGAGCTGAGAATGAATATCAGTATAGCTATTAAATTACTATCCTTTAGAAACCTCAGACAAATAACAAGAAGTCATGCTATGTAGCAGGATAATACAAAGAAGAGTCACTAATAAGTGTTATATTCAGGAAGAGACCTTCTAATTGGCAAAGTTGAAAGTGGTCTTTTATATAGCACCATCAAGGTTTTGATCACTGATTTTTCAGTAGAGAAACTATTGTTTTATCTATAGAACATATATAACTTTCTGTAAACTTGTGAAGTAGTAGCGTTAGGATAGAATTATATTTCAGTGTAACTTAATGGCTATGTTTACCATAAGCAGTGAAAGTCATATATGGTTGCACTGACAATGGAAGCCAGGTCTTTGTTATTCTAACATCCATTCTCTTTAATCTTTCTGCTAAGTCACTGGCAAATATTGAGATTAGTGCAATGTGAGTGTAGCCTGAGTCTTATACTCCACTCTGTTTGAGGGATGACTTTATACTCCGGATTTTTTATTAATACTAAACCAACACTCTATGAATTAATTTTTCCTCTGAATATACTTCCACTTTTCTCAGGCGATCTTGTCTATTTTGACTTTTCAGTGGATTTATACATGCTTTTCTTTAACATGAAGTTAAGGGTTCACATTATTACTTAACTTCTCTAGGATCATGAACTATAGGTTCAGTATCCTTTGTTTATAGTTTGTATTCACTTATGAGTGAGTACATGCAATATTCATCTTTTGGGGTCTGGGTTACCTCACTCAGGATAGTATTTTCTAATTGCATCCTTTTGTATGCAAAAGTCAAGATGTCATTGTTTTTTTTTACTGCTGAGTAGTACTCTAATTGTATATGTGCCTATTGTAAGAAGGCCATTAGTTTGTTTCCCTGCTGCCCAGCTAGCTCAGTTGGAAAAGCACGAGACTCTTAATCTCAAGGTTGTGGGTTTGATCCCCATGTTGTGGGCCAGATGAAGACAGATGCCAAAGAGAAATCCCACACAAGCTCAGAATTGAGTATAATAAAGGGTTATTTACTTAGGAGTAGACTCACAGATCACAGTCCTCTTCTTGAATGTGGAACAGCAACTGAATCTTGCAGCAAGAAATGAGAGGGAATACATGCTTTACATTGGCATTTATAGTATAAGAGGCCATGCCCAAGTGGGTAGGTAACTTAAAGGCTACTGTCTGTAGGATTTCCTAAATCATGTGCCACATTTTGTTTATCCATTCTTCTGTTGAGGGGCATCTAGGTTGTTCCCATGTTCTGGCTATTACAAATAATGCTGCTATGAACATAGGTGAACAAATACCTTTGTAGTATGATTGAGCATCCTTTGTGTATATGCCCAAGAGTGGTATTGTTGTATCATAAGTTAGGTTGTTTCCCAA